TGAAGACTTCAAGGGAAGAAAAGCCCAAAAGAGCTCCATAAACGATATTTTGTCCAAAGCCCAGCACCAAGCCCAAATACCCATCTCTGGACAATATGATGGCTCCCCATTAAATGCAAAGGTTAGGAGCTTACAAGGGAAGCGACAACCGACGAAAAACAACCAACTCTCGGCCCAAAAGCACTTGCCCGACAAGGTGAAATCTTGTCTGCCTCTCTTTGTTTTGTCTTTCAATTAATAGATCTGGTGTTGTAATGTATTCCCTAGTATATATTCAAGTCATTTCCAGTCTTTTGATGATCCAAAGTTCCATCAGTTCTCAAATCTATTTCACTTAATGGTTTTATTGTCATAAGAAGATTAAAAGTGAATTAAAACTAATGACTTGATCAGATCTGGATCTCCACCTTTAAGCATATAAGATAAAGTACCAAAAAATCCTTGATCTCAAGGCATAGAAAAGAACTTAATGTAGACTTAATCCATCTACGACAATCCTTTGATAACAAGAAGTCGGAATAACTTGGGGCGCAAGTAATCAACTTAAATATACTTGTTCTACATTTGCCATACAAAGATGGTAGTGGCACGCCTTAGCACTTAGTTAGTTTTGATTGCGAGCCTCAAGGCCTACACCTAAGGCCTCACAAAGGCACGTTTCAGAACTAACTTTGCCCTCCTCTTGCAGCATCTCGGCAAGCCGGAGCCCGAAAATCAACCAAAGTGCCAACTCCTCGGGGAGCTGTGTACTCAAGCCAGGGACCTCGTTCAGCCAGATTTCCTGCCCAAACATGTATATATTCCTGAAATGTTCAACAAGAAGAAGAATGCGAAGAGGAATGCAAAGACTTTCTCTCAACGATTGGGAAAGAGTGGATCAAGATTGGTGATGATTATTTTCAGAACCCTATAGCAACACCATCCCCATGACAACTAGTCATCAAGGAATTTGCAACAGATCCATCGTTTCAACGCGCCAAGAACAATCGCAAAAGGAAATTTGAAACTTACAACCGAGAAGAGGCTGTGTGCTATTACATTGCTTCTGACTCGCCAACTGGAATTCCCAACTATCCGTTCATCAAATATCGGACTCAATATTCAAAAGAGAAGTATGTGGAGTTGCACATTATAAGCAGACTTTTTACGTCGAAGACGGAGCAGGTGGAAGAAGAAGCGGACTTGGCGACGCATTTCAGTTTTAAGTATTTAGACTAGCTTCAATGGTTCTCAAATTTTAAGTGGGGATGTGCTATCCACACACCCCAAATTACTTTTCACACACCCCTTGTTAATTTCTGTCCATTAATCTTCTTTAATTCATTCAATCTGACGGCCGAAAATTAAAAGGGTGTGTGGATATCACACCCCTTTTAAGTAAATGACCACATTGAACAAAAATTATTCCCCATTTGCTCCCAAAGGTAGTATATTTTGGATATTACAGACGAACTTCTTGAGTGTAAATTGTTATGAATTAGCTATGTTATTCTACACCCCTCGTGTTATATATTAATGTTTTATAAGTACGATACTTCATTGAGGAAACAGTCGTATAGAAGGAGGTGTGACCTCGTTAAAATCTTGACCGGTAATTCTTGTATGATTATGGTTACACCTTTCTTGTGTAATTCAGAAGTTTTATCTTTGAAAAGAAAGAAGAGCTAATAACTTTCCCATTATTTCGACCAAAAAAAAAAATTTCCAATTATTTTTGCATTTGAATAACAAAATAATTAATGGTAAATATCTTAGTGGTTGAGAAGTCACCTTTCACTAAATATTTGAAACGAAGTATTTGAAGTTTATTAGTGATAAAATCTTGAGAGCACTACACTTGGGAATCAAGAAAAAATCTGTGTCATAAAAGCAAGATTTATTCAAACAGAAGAGGTAACAAGATTTTTTTTCAAAGTAAATAGATCGTTGGGCACCAAGTCAAGATAATTATGCCTTTAGTTTTATCAAATAATTAACGGGCAGAAGAAGTCGACGATTTGGTGAACAAAAATTCAAGTCTATAAATAGCGACTGCCAAAGGTCTTAATTTAGTATAATATGATGATTTGGAATGATTGAATTTCTTGTACAAGGATATACAAATATATACTGATTACATTTAGTCAAACTAGGAAAGAATTCTTCTGCTCTAATTTAAGAGCTAATAAGGTGATGACCCGTAGAAGAAGATGATTACAACAATCATGGGGATTTCTCTATGATTTGATTTCCAACACTCCCCCTCAAGTTGGAGAGTGAATATCACGAAATCCCAACTTGCCACTTAAAGCATGAAACTGTTCCTTTCCCAATGGTTTCGTAAATATGTCTGCTACTTGTGCGCGTGAAGGAACATAGGATGGTGAAATCAAGCCGGCTTGCAATTTTTCTCGCATGATATGACAATCAATTTCAATGTGTTTTGTGCGTTCATGAAAAACTGGATTTGCTGCAATGTAGAGAGTTGCATGATTATCGCAAAAGAGAGATGCCGATTAATTTTGTGTGACTTTCAAGTCTTCAAGAATATATCATATCCAAGTTAATTCCAAACATGTCAATGCCATAGAATGGTATTCTACTTCTGCTGATGAGCGTGCCACAGTTGTCTGCGTTTTTGATTTCCAAGATATAAGGGAATTTCCCAAAAATATGCAATATCTGGAAATGGAACGTCTCGTGGTGGTACAACCTACCCAGTCGGAATCACAAAAGGCTCGTAGTGTCAGATTATTAGAGGAAGGAAAGAATAACCCTTGACTTGGAGCCCCTTTTATAAATCTTAATACTCGTAAGGCAACTTCCCAATGTGGCTTCCGTGGATTTTGCATGAACTGACTCAAAAATCCGATTGAATAAACAACATCAGGCCTTGTGACTGTTAAGTAAATTAATCTCCCTACCAATATTCTATATTTTGTAGGATCATGGCGAAGATCGCCATCATCAAGGTTCAACTTCAAATGTTCCTCCATTGGAAAAGTACTTGGTCGAGCTTCCTATAAACCTGCATCTTTTAAAATATCCAAAGCATATTTTTGTTGGGATATGAAGATACCCTTTTTTGATCGTGATACTTCAATGCCCATAAAATATTTCAAGTTTCCTAAATCTTTGATACAAAATTGTCGCAGAAGGGAGTCTTTGAGATTTTTTTATTGCCTTTTCATCATTTCCTGCCACAATTATGTCATCAACATAAATAAGAACGGCAGTAAAAGAGTTTCCATGTATTTGTATAAAGAGGGAATAATCTGCCTTGGATTGTTGAAAACCCGCTCCTTGAATAGCATGCAAAAATTTTGCAACCCAATTTCGGGAAGCCTATTTCAATCCATATAGGGACTTTGTGAGCCGACATACCAAATTCTCCCCTTGTCGGCGAAGATCGGGTGGAATTTCCATATAGACTGCTTCGTCAAGCTCCCTATGTAGAAAAGCATTTTGGACATCCAATTGATGAAGGAACCAATTCCGAGAGGCAGCAATGGCAAGTAAACAACGGATATTGGTAAGTTTGGCTGTAGGAGAAAAAGTTTCCAAATAATCAACACCTTCAATCTGAGTATAGCCCTTAGCAACAAGACGAGCTTTGTAACGCTCGATGGACCCATCAAAATTATAATTGATTTTATAGACCCATTTGCAACCAAGAGGCTTATGACCAGATGGTAAAGGAACAAGTGTCCAGGTATTATTCTTCATGAGGGCATCAAGTTCGACTTTCAAGGCATTTCTCCAATGGGGATCAACAACAGCTTGAGAAAAGGAAGTGGGTTCAATGACACCTGTAATGTTAACTAAAAATGCATGGTGGGAAGGAGAAAAACAAGAATAAGAAAGAAAATTAAACAGCGGATAACGAGTACCTTGAGAAGGAGGTGGCGCCAAGGTTAATGAAAGGTCGGGTTACGTCATCGCGAGATACATGTGATAGTCTTTGTGCCATTAAGGTGGGTGAACGGTATGAGTAGAGTGACAAGAAACATCAAGTGGTGGAGATGCTTGTGACGGAGGCAAAATAGGTGGAGAAGGTGGAGGGTCAGTGGATGACTCGTCCATGGGAGCTGGTATGGTTGCATGAGGAGTGGGTGGGGTAGCATCAACTGGATGAGATAGTGGAAGAGCATGGTTAGAAGTGGGATTTATATGTTTGAAACGGAAGTCTTCTTCGTGAAAACAAGAGTCTTTACTAACAAAAAAATTTTAAGTGTCCAAATTGAATAATTTGCAACCTTTTTGCCCGGTGGGATACCCAACAAAAACACAACGGTGAGCATGAGAATCAAACTCATGTAAGGGGTGAACATGTAAGGGGCGAACAATAGTGGCATAACAAAGATATCCAAAAATCCTCAAATGATCGTAGGAGGGCAGGTGAAGGTAAAAATGCTCGAAATGTGTTTTATTGGATAATAAAGGAGGATGTATTCGATTTATGAGGTAAACGACAGTAAGAACACACTCCCCTTAAAAAGAGATGGGCAAATTGGATTGTAAACGTAACACACGGGCTACATTAAGGATGTGATGATACTTTCTTTCAACAACACCCTTTTGTTGAGGTGTATAGACACAAGTACGTTGAAATTCGACTCCATTGGTAAGGAAAAAAAATATTTTAAAGATAAAAACTCAGAGCCATTATTAAAGCGGATTGTTTTGATGGTGGTATTAAATTGTGTGTGAATGAATTAAAAGAAATATTGAATTAATGATGACTCAGATTTATGAACCATGAAAAAAACCCATGAGCACTGTGTATAATCATCCACAATAGTTAAGAAATAACGAGCCCCCAAATGTGTGCGTTGTTTATGTGGACCCCATATGTCGTAGTGAATTAACGAGCCCCCAATCTTATGACGATCTTTGTTGCAGTAATTACAGTGTAGATTATATCTCCTTCGTCCTAAATTTGAATTTGAACAATTATTCGAATTAGAAGTGTTGCTGAATTTTCGTACCGCGATAGCAATTGAGAAGTTCTTTGTGTTGGTGGAACCAATTTCACACTGGGCTTCTTCTTGACTACTAACGAATAAGCCTTACGAACAGTTGGAAGCGGATCCATCACTAGGATTTGCCCTCGAACAACGCTATAGGAATCATTTAATCCCATCAAAAATTACATGGTTTGGTCTTGTTCATGATATTTTTCAAAAGAAGATTTTTTCCTTGCACTGGCACGTGTGTGGGGTTCTATATGAAGCTAGTTTATCCCATAAATTTTGTAGTTTTGTGAAGTAAGTAGCCACAGACATCGAACCTTGAGAGTGAAAGGCGATTGCCTTCTGAATGTGGTAGATTCGGGTAGCGGTGTCAGCAAAAATCACTGAGAAAGCAAGGTCAGGCGTGACCGATTGGACGAACCAGGATAATATCATCTTGTTGCAGCGATCCCATAAAGCATACTAAGTGGGTTTCTTGTCTGGAGATGGTCCTTTCAACATTCCATCTATGAAACTAATCTTATTCTTGGCGATAAAGGCGATGTGGACGACCCAACTCCAGGTAGCATAATTTTCCCCATTCAATGGTTGGGAAACTAAGGAATTGTTTGGGTTATCAGAATGATGAATATAGTATGGACTTGAAACGTTTGAAGCTGAATTGGTGCTATCGTTTCCAGCCATGTTGAAATCTGGAAAACGAGAATGAAAATGCTATGGAAGCCGTGTAAAGTTGAAGAGGCTATGAAGAGAAAAGCCTACAATAGGTACACTGCCAGGTAATTAGGAGCTAGGGAAACCCTACCTTTGATACCATCTTAATTTAGTATAATATGATGATTTGGAATGATTGATTACAATTGTACAAGGATATACAAATATATACTGATTACATTTAGTCAAACTAGGAAAGATAATTCTTCTACTCTAATTTAGGAGCTAATAAGGCGATGACCCGTAGAAGAAGATGATTACAACAATCATGGGGATTTCTCTATGATTTGATTTCCAACAAAGGGGTAGAGCCTGGGATAAATACGTCCACTCCGCACACCATTTTTTCCCTTATGCAATACTCTAATTTATTTTTGTCATTTAATTTCCTTTGATTTATAGACTATCTAAAGGCTAGAAAAAAGAAGTGTGCAAAATTACTTCTTAAAGCACAAATATAACAAAACTTGAAATTGAAGGAGATGTGAATTTAAAATAATTTGATGATTATTTGTGCTTTAAGAAGTAATTTGATGAGCTGATACCTTAGACAAATTTTGGCAAAATATAGTGAATGGAGGAACAAGTTCAACGCATACATATCGAACTTAAGCAGAGGACGTCGGTAGTAGAACCAAGTTGTCAGGCCAACCAAGTCCGCACGTTACATAAACCCAATCTAAGGTAATGATGAGGCCTCCTCGCAAAGAGATGCTCTGCTCCATTTTCCGGTGAATTTCAAGCTACTCGGCTGGGAGATCTACTTCTACCCACTGCGAAGTAAGGTTCTCTCATCTTTGTGCTTGTGGTTTCTCTCGCCATTGGGTTGATTTATCCTCTCATAATGGCTAGTGGTGAGGAGGCTATCCACTACCTAAGTGTTAACTTCGAAGATAGTCTAGATCTAGAAGAGAGGTTTGATGATAATATACATCTAGTAGGAAGCTTGTTAGCTGATAATGAGCCATCTGAGCATGTGATCAAGGAGGTGATGCGTATTGCCTGGAATAAGATGGGAGTTGTCAAGGTTTTGAAGACCAAACCCAACATTTATGCTATCAATGTGGGCGAGGACGCAGTGGCTAGACGACTCCTCGAGGGGAACCCTTGGTTTAACAAGGATTACACCTCCACTATCAAGTTGTGGCAAGCACATGGGGTCCCAAGACATCTATGCACCATGAAAAATGCAATAATGGGGGAGATGTTGGGGGCAGTCCTAGAGGTTGAGGACCACTTTGAAATTGGCTTTCGCAATTTCCTATGGCTGCAAGTTGACTTCGACGGCCGAAGACCACTCGTGACATGCTTCCAAATACCTTTCCAAAAGACTGGATCCAGGCTTCTTCGCTTGAAATATGAGGGGCTGAGGATCTTCTGTTATCGTTGTGGGAGGCTTGGTCATCGAATGGTTGCCCATGGCTGGCGACATCAATGGCTTCGGGAACAAGCCGTTTGTGTGACGAGTTGTGTGCTTCCCCTCCCTCCCAAGCACCATCTTTGCTATTCTCGCCAGTAAAAAGGTTAAACATGTAATAGAGGCTGATGAAGGGCATTGGAGACAAAAATGGGCAGGGGAAAAAACATTTTCTCCTCATGATATTCAAGTAAGAACGTATATTTAGCATACAACCTGTCTATGATATTCAGATCAAATATGAACATGCAAGACTCTTTAAGTTTTGTGAAAACCCTTTGCAACACCTTGCAACCCCTAAGAGCGTGATACTTGCTTTAAATGAAATTACAATTATTAACCACAAGAAGAAATACTCAATCCTTCGGTCATATTTCGACTGAATTAGATCCAAATACTTATCTAAACATTCTAATGGTGGCCAAGCATTCAGATATAAACACAGTTAAACACAGAGATTAATAATTCAAAGCAAGCATGCATAACATCATAAGCAATTGAATAAAGACTACATATTCATGCTAAGGCTCATGACCTCGCCCTAGCAAAAGGAATTTAGTTATGAACAACCATAAAACAAAAGGAATTTTATTGAAATAGAAAAAGGATAGAAAACACCTTGAAATACAAATCGTCAAAAGCTCTCTATGTTCTACCAATTGATGCGTTCTCCCTCCCTCCCTCCCTCGATAACCCTAATGGCTAAATAGTTTTTTTTATACTAATGCAAAATAAAACCTGACCTAGAAAAGGTCTTACAATAAAACTAGGAAACATAATAAAATAATAAAATAATAAATTAGCAAATAAAAGGTTTCCTATTTGAACTAAAATTCGGACTTCTCAAAAAATAAGACTTTTGACTGACCAAATCAACTTCGATTTGGTCCCAAAAGATCTCTTTTGAAAGCTTAAGTCATCCCAACAAATGCTCAAAAGGAATATTCCTTAAAATATGCTATCTTGACCTCCAAAATATCCAAACACGTCAATCTAGGCAGGTTGCATGCTGAGCCTTTATTTCATTGCCACGGTTAAACGGCTTAGTAGAAAAATATGAAACTTTGATACAATAATCTTGAAAACTCACAAATATCCTCTAATTGGAATCGCTCCAAAATTTGTCCGTTTGATCATGTTTTGGCCTAAAAGAAGTCAGAAATCCTATATTGAAAATACAATTTAAAGTATCAAAATTCACACCAAATAACCAATAAATTAATACTAAGATTAGGGTAATATATATAGAATAAAATCACTCATCACCTGCCAGATAGGGATTAGGAAACATCGACGAAAGAGTTCACGGCAAGGCAAAAGGGGGTTGATCGAATATTAAAGGCTACCATCCCTGCAAATAGGGACAAAAGCATTGCTGCAACAAAAGAAAAATCTGATATTGCACCATTTGTCATCCTCAGCACCCCTAACACCGATTTGTTTGAGGCTGACACTCTGATTCCTAAGCCAAGTGGATTCCATTTGCCAAGGTTGAACAATATACCAGATGATGGGCATATGTGGCACCCTGATAGCTTTGGGATCCAGTTCACTAATGGCGCTTTGACCATTGCAGTCAACAGTCTTTCCCTTTCTAAGTCTTAAGTGCTTACCTCTAAGGGCCTTCTCCAATGTAGATAGGCTTATTAAGGCGACAAATGAATTACTAACTAGCCCAACTCATTTTACTTTGAAAGATTGTTTTCCTCCTGGTACCAGCTAACAGATGTAAATGACCTCAACCTAACACTAGCCCTGGGCCCAAACGAAACTTGCGGGATAAAGCCCATTCTTAAGATGGAACCTACATACCCAAAACAGTACTCTTCCTAAAAAAAGGCTAAAGTGACGCATAGCCCTAACAGTTGTTATCCTCTCCATCTCTCAAACTTCAACGGCCGAAGAACCAGGGGCAATGACTGTGTGCCAAAGGATGTCAAATCAAACCAAAAAGTGAGGCACTCTCGAAATGAGGGCATTTCGACCAAGCTGGGTGATGATGGTTTATGCGATGTGCTTATCAGTCCCTCAAAGGAGATTGCAGAGGCGGAAACTCAAGGGAGGGAAGATAGGAAGAAAATGAAGAATCACAAATGTCCCATCGATGGAGGCTGACAATTGTCAACCTCGCCGAGAACCATGAAAACCCTACTATGGAACTACCAGTGGCCTAGGAACTCCCTGATAGTTCAAGCGTTGCTCGACATTGTCAAGTAGCAAGATCCCCTTTAGGTGTTCCTATCCGAAACTAAATGCCAGATGTCTACGCTTAGCTTCCTTAAAGTTAAGTTGCGATTTGATAAATTTTGTGGGATCAACTCGAGGGGACAATCAGGAGGCCATTTTGGAAAGCTGATCTAAATGTTAGGCTCCTAAATACCTATGCGCACTTCATTGATGTGGAAATGGTGGTATGGGTGAATGTAATTTATCGGTTTTAAGCTTCACGGGGGTTCCCTTTACATGGACGACTTCTCGCCATGGAGGAATTAAGGAGTGGCTGGATAGAGTGCTTACCATTGATACGTGGAAGGCTCTATATCCTAATTACTATGTGATCCATCTTGACCCAAGTAAGTTTGACCATACACCCATCATTCTGTCAAATCAACGTTTGCCATCGCTAGGCAATAGGCGGCACCACCGTCTTCGATTTAAGGAATTATGGACCGGACATGAGGAGTGTTTGGGCATCGTGAAAGAAGCATGGGAACCACCGATGGTTTAGGTCCTAATGTTCCAAATTGTACATAAGGTAAAGGCTACCAGGGTGGCTTTAACTAAATGGCAAAATCGAGTTTTCAATTCCAGAAAGACGAAGATTAGTGATATACGTGCTAAACTGGGAAACATCCTCCACCAACCATTATCTGAGAACTCGGTCTCTGAAAGGGCGACACTCATGAATAGGTGATGAGTAGATTTTTTATATTATATATTTTACCCTAATCTTAGCATATTTTGGTTAATATTTTGGAAGAATTTTGATACTTTGAATTGTATTTTCAATATAGGATTTTCGACTTCCTCTGGAGCAAAACAGAACCAAATGGACGAATTTTGGAGTAATTCCAGTTGGAGGACGTTCGTGAGTCAGTTAGCTTGATCGTATCAAAATTTGGGATTTTTCCACAAAGCGGTTATTTTCTGGCGATGAAATAAAGAAGCAGTGCGCAGTGCTGGAAAATGATGTTTTTGGGCTTAAATGACGTTTTTGGAGCCCAAGATGACCTCGGATGGGTTCGTGGCCTTCTGGAAAAGTGTTCAGAATATTCCAAATATTAAATCCAGCTATATTGGGCCAATTTTGGAGCAGCTTATGGGCCAAAACGTGGCTGTTCAGATTTTAGACGAATTTTACTATTTTTATTTAGGGTTTTTATTAATTTTAGTTTGCTAGGGTTTGTGTGGTGGCTTAGCAAATATATTGCTTGGCCGTCTACAGTTTTAGAGGACGCTTTATTTTATGCAATATTGGAGACAGAGAGAAGTGCTAGGGTTTTGAAGATTTTCTACTTGAAGGTGTTTTCAATCCTTTTTCTTAATAATATTTTCTATGATTTCAATTATGAATATGCGGAACTAATTTCTATTGCTAGGGCGAAGCCTTGAGCCTTAGCATGAATATGTGATTTTTATGTAAATTGCTTATGATTGATTGCATGCGTACTTTGAATTGTTAATTACCGGGATAAAAACTATCTAATTGTTTTAATGCCTGATCACCATTAGGATTTTTAGAAAAGTAATTTGATGCAATTTTGGTCGGAAGGTTCCCTGAAATTGACGCTGGCTTCTTGTGATTAATAATTGTAATTTCTCTTAGGATGAATATCACGTCTTAAGGATTGCATGGTTTTTCAAAGGATTTTCATAAAACATAATGAGTCTTTCATGTTCAGATTTGATCCGAACGTCCGTACGGATTGCATGTTAGATATACGTTCTATGTTGGAGGTTCCAAGTAGAATATGAATTAGGAAAATCTAACCTTCAAAGTAGCATGTATAGATCATAAGTAATGGGTAAAAATTCATAGGATTGCTAGGTGATGGTGAACCCTAGTGCTTTCTTAATTTGATTTTCTCATAACTGTTTTCTTCTCTCTAGTTCTAATATTGCAAATTGTTTATTTTAATTCATTAAATTCGTTTTTATTTTAATTAGGTTATCAAATCAATCACTTCAATTTCTACTCTACAATAATTAAATGGAATTTGATTTGTTCGAATTATTTAATAATCCATGTGGAGATGACCTTGCGAAATCCGTTTATACTACAATAACCTTGTGATTCTTGCAAGTAAAATAAGAGATTTAAGCCCGTTCACATAAGTAGTAAAAATCCTATCAATAGGCTCGATTCTCTCTTGGGGGACGTGGAAAGCTTTTGGGGGCAAAGGTCACACTTACACTAGATGAAGGTGGGGGATAGAAACACTCGATTCTTTCACCAAAGGGCATCAAGTTGTAGATAAAATAATTACGTTAGGGGGCTCACTGATCACAATGGGCGTTGGGTAGACTAACAATGTGGTGAAGAGTGTTGTCTTGGATTATTTCCATGATCTCTTTGCATCCGTCTGATGAGTAGATTTTATATTATATATTTTACCCTAATCTTAGTATATTTTTTGTTAATATATTGGAAGAATTTTGATACTTTGAATTGTATTTTCAATATAGGACTTTCGACTTCCTCTGGAGCAAAACAGGATCAAATGGACGAATTTTGGAGTAATTCCAGTTGGAGGACGTTCGTGAGTCACTTAGCTTGATCGTATCAAAATTTGGGATTTTTCCATCAAGCGGTTATTTTCTGGCGATGAAATAAAGAAGCAGTGCGCAGTGCTGGAAAATGACGTTTTTGGGCTTAAATGACGTTTTTGGAGCCCAAGATGACCTCGGATGGGTTCGTGGCCTTCTGGAAAAGTGTTCAGAATATTCCAAACATCAAATCCAGCTATATTGGGCAAGTTTTGGAGCAGCTTTTGGGCCAAAACGTGGCTGTTCAGATTTTAGACGAATTTTATCATTTAATTTAGGGTTATGTTTCCTACGGTTTGTGTGGGTGGCTTGGCAAATATATTGCTTGGCCGTCTACAGTTTTAGACTACGCTTTATTTTATGCAATATTGGAGACAGAGAGAAGTGCTAGGGTTTTGAAGATTTTCTACTTGAAGGTGTTTTCAATCCTTTTCTTAAGAATATTTTCTATGATTTCAATTATGAATATGCGGAACTAATTTCTTTTGCTAGGGCGAAGCCTTGAGCCTTAGCATGAATATGTGATTTTTATTTAATTTCTTATGATTGATTGCATGCGTACTTTGAATTGTTAATCACCGGGATAAAAAACTATCTAATTGTCGTAATGCTTGATCACCATTAGGATCTTTAGAAAAAGTAATTTGATGCAATTTTGGTCGGAAGGTTTCCCTGAAATTGACGCTGGCTTCTTGTGATTAATAATTGTAATTTCTCTTAGGATGAATATCACGTCTTAAGGATTGCATGGTTTTTCAAAGGATTTTCATAAAGCATAATGAGTCTTTCATGTTTAGATTTGATCCGAACGTCCGGACGGGTTGCATGTTAGATATACGTTCTATGTTGGAGGTTCCAAGTAGAATATGAATTAGGAAAATCTAACCTTCAAAGTAGCATGTGTAGATCATAAGTAATTGGTAAAAAATCATAGGATTGCTAGGTGATGGTGGAACCCTAGTGCTTTCTTAATTTTATTCTCCCAAAACTGTTTTCTTTTTCTCTAGCTCTATTATTGCAGATTGTTTATTTTAATTCATTAATTTCGTTTTTATTTTAATTAGGTTACAAAATCAATCACTTCAATTTCTACTTTACAATAATTAAATGGAATCTGATTTGTTAGAATTATTTAATAATCCCTGTGGAGATGACCTTGCGAAATCCGTTTATACTACAATAACCTTGTGATTCTTGCAAGTAAAATAGGAGGTTTTTATCGCATTCACATAAGTTGTAAAAATCTCTATCAAGAAAATGGCGCCGTTGCCGGGGATTATTTAAAATAATCCCTACGAATCAGATTTTCAATTAGTTATTGCTGTTTATACATATAAAAAAAATAAAAAAAATATTTAATTTTCGTTTTCATTTATTTTTACAGATTACAACAGTACAGATTTCAGAAATCTGTGCATGGTCAGCACCCGTTCAACAGTGCAGAAATTGATTCCATTTGATCCAGAATTTGAGCAGCATTTAAGGAGGAAACGCAGGGAGCAAAATTTGCAGTGGGTTCGTCCTCTGCAGGAGACTTTTCTGCAATCAGACTTTGACCTGCACAACAAAGAAAAAAAGGCGTTTGTAAATCCAGAGGCAGGACTACCCCTAGGTGATTCACTGACTGCCCATTCCACAAATATACCCAGTTGCATTACATATCCGGCAGTGGAGGAAGGGACTGCATTTGAAATAAAACAGCACATGTTGAATATTCTACCTACGTTTCATGGGTTGTCATCTGATGATCCTAACATGCACATTGCAGAATTTTTAATGGGGTGCAAAAACATTTTGGTGAGGGGATTTTCAGCTGAATCTATTAAGCTGCGGTTATTTCCATACACTTTAAAAGATCAGGCAAGGAGATGGCTCCTCATACTCCCATCTGGAAGCATTACAACTTGGGCCCAACTCAGTGAAAAATTTTTAAACAAGTATTATCCGGCTTCTAAGACCCTTGACATGAGAACTCAGATTTTATCTTTCGCCCAAAAACCAAATGAGGAGTTTCATGAGGCGTGGGAGCGGTTCAAAGAGTTGATTAGAAAATGTCCGCATTCGGGTATTAACACTACTGATCAAATGCATATATTTTTCAGAGGGTTGAATATGACTACAAAAACTCTTGTCAACGCATCTTGCGGAGGTTCGTACAAGGATAAAAATGCACAAGAGGCTTGTTTGTTATTTGAAAAAATGGCAGCAGATACACAACAGTGGGCAGTTGAGCAGCCACAATCTAGGTCTGTTTTTGAGATGTCTAACGGTTCTCCGTATGTTACAGCACAAATTGAAAAAATGGAGAAAAGGCTTGACGCAAAATTTGATATGTTATTACAGAGAATACCAGGTTCACAGGTTGCTGTACAGCAGCCCTTACAAGCTGCCTGCAACATTTGCAGTTTGACAAATCATGATTTTTTGAGCTGTCCACATAAAGATGCTTATCCGGAGTTTATGGCGGAGCAGGTTAATTCATTCAATAATTTTCAACGTCCCAGATATGACCCGTATTCAAATTTCTACAACCCAGGTTGGAGAGATCATCCTAATTTAAAGTGGGACAAAGATCAACACACTAGGCCTCAATTTCAACAGCAGGTACAACAACATGCTGCACCTAAGGCTGCTTGGGAAGTTGCAATTGAAAAATTAGCAAATACTACCAGTCAAGAAATCCAAAATCTGCATGAATCAATGAAAAATATGGAAAAACAAATTGGGCAAATTGCTTTGCAGGTTTCAGAAAGGGCACCAGGTACATTTCCTAGTCAAACAGTACCAAATCCAAGAGGACGAGAAGAGTGCAATGCTATACGGACTCTACGGTCTGGCAAAAGTTACAATAACAAACATGAAAATTCTATTGAGAATTCACAGGCTGCAGAAGCTTCCCCAAAAACTGCAGAACGTGTTTACGAGCCCCCTATGCCTTATCCAGAAAGGTTGAGACCTAAAGCTAAAGATCAACAGTTAACTGATTTTATGAAGACTTTGTCTAAGGTTCAGATTAATCTGCCGTTAATTGATGCCATCAAGAACATTCCGTCTTATGCCAAGTTTTTGAAGGATGTTTGCACAAACAAAAAGAAGCTTGTTGATTTTGAGAAAGTAATTCTTACAGAACAATGCAGTGCGGTCTTATTACATAAATTGCCTCCAAAGAAAAAAGATCCAGGGAGTTTTACTATCTCTTGCACCATTGGAAATTGTGATTTTAGTAGTGCTTTAATTGATTTAGGTGCTAGTGTGAACTTAATGCCATATTCTGTTTTCAAACGTCTAGGTGAAGGGGAGCTGAAGCCAACCTCCAGTATTATTCAATTGGCTGACCGTTCAATTACCTACCCTAGAGGAGTCATTGAAGATGTTATTGTGAAAGTTGACAATTTATATTTACCGGCTGATTTTATGGTGTTGGACATGGATGAGGATTTGACAACGCCCATTATTTTGGGCCGCCCATTTCTGGCAACAGCCCGGACTCTTATTGACGTTGAAACTGGAGTATTCATATGTCTACTAAATTGACTCGGTTTGAATTAAAGAAGGGAGAGAGCCGTTTGGGCTCTGGGGTTAATGACTGACAGAGACAGAAAAAATCTACACGCCAAGCTGCCCGGGTTCACGTGATTTGTCAGATAGGTGGGGCTGTGAAAATGAAAAGACAGAGAGCTGTTTAGCTTTGGTTTTGCTAATAAGCACAACGTCATTGACTCTGGAAAGGAGAGCGGGCAGCAGAGAATCCAAGGTGTGGGATTATGATCAGCTAAGGTTATGGTGGACGTGTGTGGCCGTGTGTAGCCACTTGGGCTGCATTCAGCCGGCCTGCCCACTTCTTTTCTTTTCTCACGGCCCAAAATCTACTCTTTTACCCACATGCCCCAAGGCTATTCCATCCGCCACATCAGGTGCATGTTTCTTGTCTTTACTTTTGTTCTTTTGTTATTTTTCCCCATGGCCTAGGACCTGATTTCAAATCAGGCAAGTCTTTTATATAATTTTATTTTATTTTAAGTTTTTTTTAGTTTATTTAGTCTAGGTTGTTGTTTGTCTTTTCCAACGTTGTTTTCTTTTAGTTCATTTAGTTTCTTTTATTTTAGTTTCCACACCTTGAGGACAAAGTGTGAAATAAGTTTGGGGGTGGGAAAATAACATTTTAGGTATTTAATTTTTAGGTCTTTAATTTTTGTGTCGTTTAAAAATTTTCATTCTTGCTAAGTTAATATCCAGAGATTATTTTAAAAGTTAGAACAAATGGACATGGTAAAGATTAATCCCATAGTAGAGTCTTTTCTATTTATCGTTGCTTAGACACTAATTCATGAATTATACTTTGAACTTTGCACATCACACCAACATGGTTTGTGGGGAGTGAGATTGAAACACTTGCTTTTAGTCTAAGTTATTTTTAATTTTTAATTTTTGTTTTAAGTAAAGTCAGTTATTATTGTGAATAAAGTAATAATTGTCTCACCCGAGATTTTGCCTAGTAACCGGGCCAGTCCTGCCTAATCAGCAGTGATTCTCGCGTCAAACGGTAGAGTTTTGGCATGGGGCAGGGTGGTTAGTTGGTTTCGTAGCCTTTTCAGCTCGGGTTAATAAGTCCTTAGGGGTGTTCTACACCTAGTGCCCTAAAGCCCGAGTGGTTTGGGAGTCATTGACCTAAAGCTCGCTACATGGGTTGGATCGAAAGCTTAAGTGAACCGACATTGCACGACCACTACTGTTACTGAAAAAAAAAAAAGTTATATATGAAAAAAAAAAAAAAAAAAGTGAAAAAGAAAAAAAAAAACAGAAAAAGAAAGAGAGTTATATTTAAAGTTACTATGTGTGAAATAAATAAGGACTAGAGGTAAGGGTTTTAGTCGAGTCTCCTTAATTATGTTGGTTCACTTTACACCAAAGGAAGTTTGTGAATTCTTTTCTAATTGATTCTAAATGGCTTAGACTCTGTGGTGGGATTGGTTGGAACTTTTGAAAAAATGTTCTAGTTTTTAAAATTTGCTATGGATTGCAACTTTGAAGGTGAAAATTTTTGCCAATTAATTTTAGCTAGTTGTCTAGTTTGTTAAGTTTTTATTTTTGTTTGAGTCTTATTTTGCTTGAGGACAAGCAAAAAGCTAAGTTTGGGGGTATTTGATGAGTAGATTTTATATTATATATTTTACCCTAATCTTAGTATATTTTTTGTTAATATATTGGAAGAATTTTGATACTTTGAATTGTATTTTCAATATAGGACTTTTGACTTCCTCTGGAGCAAAACAAGATCAAATGGACGAATTTTGGAGTAATTCCAGTTGGATAGAGTGCTTACCATTGATACGTGGAAGGCTCTATATCCTAATTACTATGTGATCCATCTTGACCCAAGTAAGTTTGACCATACACCCATCATTCTGTCAAATCAACGTTTGCCATCGCTAGGCAATAGGCGGCACCACCGTCTTCGATTTAAGGAATTATGGACCGGACATGAGGAGTGTTTGGGCATCGTGAAAGAAGCATGGGAACCACCGATGGTTTAGGTCCTAATGTTCCAAATTGTACATAAGGTAAAGGCTACCAGGGTGGCTTTAACTAAATGGCAAAATCGAGTTTTCAATTCCAGAAAGACGAAGATTAGTGATATACGTGCTAAACTGGGAAACATCCTCCACCAACCATTATCTGAGAACTCGGTCTCTGAAAGGGCGACACTCATGAATAGGTGATGAGTAGATTTTATATTATATATTTTACCCTAATCTTAGCATATTTTGGTTAATATTTTGGAAGAATTTTGATACTTTGAATTGTATTTTCAATATAGGATTTTCGACTTCCTCTGGAGCAAAACAGAACCAAATGGACGAATTTTGGAGTAATTCCAGTTGGAGGACGTTCGTGAGTCAGTTAGCTTGATCGTATCAAAATTTGGGATTTTTCCACAAAGCGGTTATTTCTGGCGATGAAATAAAGAAGCAGTGCGCAGTTCTGGAAAATGATGTTTTTGGGCTTAAATGACGTTTTTGGAGCCCAAGATGACCTCGGATGGGTTCGTGGCCTTCTGGAAAAGTGTTCAGAATATTCCAAATATTAAATCCAGCTATATTGGGCCAGTTTTGGAGCAGCTTATGGGCCAAAACGTGGCTGTTCAGATTTTAGACGAATTTTACTATTTTTATTTAGGGTTTTTATTAATTTTAGTTTGCTAGGGTTTGTGTGGTGGCTTAGCAAATATATTGCTTGGCCGTCTACAGTTTTAGAGGACGCTTTATTTTATGCAATATTGGAGACAGAGAGAAGTGCTAGGGTTTTGAAGATTTTCTACTTGAAGGTGTTTTCAATCCTTTTCTTAATAATATTTTCTATGATTTCAATTATGAATATGCGGAACTAATTTCTATTGCTAGGGCGAAGCCTTGAGCCTTAGCATGAATATGTGATTTTTATGTAAATTGCTTATGATTGATTGCATGCGTACTTTGAATTGTTAATTACCGGGATAAAAACTATCTAATTGTTTTAATGCCTGATCACCATTAGGATTTTTAGAAAAGTAATTTGATGCAATTTTGGTCGGAAGGTTCCCTGAAATTGACGCTGGCTTCTTGTGATTAATAATTGTAATTTCTCTTAGGATGAATATCACGTCTTAAGGATTGCATGGTTTTTCAAAGGATTTTCATAAAACATAATGAGTCTTTCATGTTCAGATTTTGATCCGAACGTCCGTACGGATTGCATGTTAGATATACGTTCTATGTTGGAGGTTCCAAGTAGAATATGAATTAGGAAAATCTAACCTTCAAAGTAGCATGTATAGATCATAAGTAATGGGTAAAAATTCATAGGATTGCTAGGTGATGGTGAACCCTAGTGCTTTCTTAATTTGATTTTCTCATAACTGTTTTTCTTCTCTCTCTAGTTCTAATATTGCAAATTGTTTATTTTTAATTCATTAAATTCGTTTTTATTTTAATTAGGTTATCAAATCAATCACTTCAATTTCTACTCTACAATAATTAAATGGAATTTGATTTGTTCGAATTATTTAATAATCCATGTGGAGATGACCTTGCGAAATCCGTTTATACTACAATAACCTTGTGATTCTTGCAAGTAAAATAAGAGATTTAAGCCCGTTCACATAAGTAGTAAAAATCCTATCAATAGGCTCGATTCTCTCTTGGGGGACGTGGAAAGCTTTTGGGGGCAAAGGTCACACTTACACTAGATGAAGGTGGGGGATAGAAACACTCGATTCTTTCACCAAAGGGCATCAAGTTGTAGATAAAATAATTACGTTAGGGGGCTCACTGATCACAATGGGCGTTGGGTAGACTAACAATGTGGTGAAGAGTGTTGTCTTGGATTATTTCCATGATCTCTTTGCATCCGTCTGATGAGTAGATTTTATATTATATATTTTACCCTAATCTTAGTATATTTTTGGTTAATATATTGGAAGAATTTTGATACTTTGAATTGTATTTTCAATATAGGACTTTCGACTTCCTCTGGAGCAAAACAGGATCAAATGGACGAATTTTGGAGTAATTCCAGTTGGAGGACGTTCGTGAGTCACTTAGCTTGATCGTATCAAAATTTGGGATTTTTCCATCAAGCGGTTATTTTCTGGCGATGAAATAAAGAAGCAGTGCGCAGTGCTGGAAATGACGTTTTTGGGCTTAAATGACGTTTTTGGAGCCCAAGATGACCTCGGATGGGTTCGTGGCCTTCTGGAAAAGTGTTCAGAATATTCCAAACATCAAATCCAGCTATATTGGGCCAGTTTTGGAGCAGCTTTTGGGCCAAAACGTGGCTGTTCAGATTTTAGACGAATTTTATCATTTAATTTAGGGTTATGTTTCCTAGGGTTTGTGTGGGTGGCTTGGCAAATATATTGCTTGGCCGTCTACAGTTTTAGACTACGCTTTATTTTATGCAATATTGGAGACAGAGAGAAGTGCTAGGGTTTTGAAGATTTTCTACTTGAAGGTGTTTTCAATCCTTTTCTTAAGAATATTTTCTATGATTTCAATTATGAATATGCGGAACTAATTTCTTTTGCTAGGGCGAAGCCTTGAGCCTTAGCATGAATATGTGATTTTTATTTAATTTCTTATGATTGATTGCATGCGTACTTTGAATTGTTAATCACCGGGATAAAAAACTATTTAATTGTCGTAATGCTTGATCACCATTAGGATCTTTAGAAAAGTAATTTGATGCAATTTTGGTCGGAAGGTTCCCTGAAATTGACGCTGGCTTCTTGTGATTAATAATTGTAATTTCTCTTAGGATGAATATCACGTCTTAAGGATTGCATGGTTTTTCAAAGGATTTTCATAAAGCATAATGAGTCTTTCATGTTTAGATTTGATCCGAACGTCCGGACGGGTTGCATGTTAGATATACGTTCTATGTTGGAGGTTCCAAGTAGAAATGATGAATTAGGAAAATCTAACCTTCAAAGTAGCATGTGTAGATCATAAGTAATTGGTAAAAATTCATAGGATTGCTAGGTGATGGTGGAACCCTAG